GAGCCCGGTACCATCGCACCTCCATGTTCTTAGCACTCATGCTGGGTGACAGGCGACAGACTAATATGACTTCATCACCTACAGAAGCGGTGATAGGGTGAACGGGCCCAATCACTGAAAAGTGTGCTGTTAAATGGAACAGGACACAAAAGCAATTGAATTCGAGAAGAACTGAGAATAGGATTTTAATTTCCTGGTCAGGCACAATATATACAAAATATATCCCTTACAGCTTTTCAGTGCATTGTGGTTGTTCATGGGTCCTGACTTCATGTTAATTTTAATACAATTCCCTGTTAGCTTTCAGGAGAAATGCTAGCATTTGATGGAAAATTATTCAAATGGAGAATTAAAATGGGAATTTATTACAAAAATGGATGAAAAATATTGCAGATCAAATTTTGCCTTCAGATGCATACACACATAACCCTCAGTGACTTGAACGAGCATTGTGTAGTTGGTTGGTTGCATGGCCCACTGAATGGGGTACTAGCCATATACCCTAGCATGCAGGGTTCTAGCCCTCTTTCTGTCACTAGCTTTTGTGGCAACTCAGGCAAAACACTTCCCCTCTCTATGCCTCAATTTCTTCATTTGTAAGAATGACCTTTTTATGTACGAGTTTTGAAATATGCAGATGAAAAGAGCTAAGCAGTATTATTATCTGTGTGCAATAGTTGGCCAGACTATTTTCCAGTATAATGTTAAGACCCACATTTTCTAAAATAGCCTCTAACTCAAAGTTCTACATCCAAAAGCTTAGGTCCACAATATTGAAGGTCCAAATCTATGTACTTTAAAAAGCTAATATTTGCATATGCAAACAGTGTCTTTGTGAACAACCCTGATAGATAATTTTCATTTAAAAAAACTCCCTTCCTTGAAATAACATTTATACACTAATGGCCAAGATTTGGCCAAATGTTGTCGAGTGATTTTACTGGTGCTTCAGTTTTTAGATGCCTTAATTGGCACCCCATGAAAATCAGGGCCCTTTGATGACTTACAATGTGCTTCCATTATACGTCTGATTTCAACTCTCTTCCCCTCCTTTCCACCTTGTATCTGTTAGAAGCTGGGCTGAATAATTATTGTGGTAGGTTAGGCTAAGTGGGTGTGGTTGCATTTTGGATGGCCATAGAAAACACTTAGGCTCCCTCATAGCAGCTCCCCGTTGGGCAGAGGAGTATGCAAGTGCATATACAAATTAAAAATATGTAGGTGGATTGCTTTGCTGAGTATTGTTGGACCAGAGAGGTGGGTCAGGGGTTGGGTGGGTGTGTTAGAAAAGCAGGAGACATGGCACACAGAGAGAAGCAGAAAGAAAGGCAGGCAGATGCAACCTGGAAGCACCGTATGAGGCCATGGGCGGCGTGTGACTCCTCCATTTGGGGAGGTTGGGTGTGCCTGGACTGTGGCCCCGCCCCAAGGCCCACCCCCACTCAGCCTCTTCCCTTGGAAGCCGCGTCCACACTTCACCTGTGGCCCCACTCAGCCCCCATCCCAAGGCACCTGCCGCTCGCGCCTCTTCGCCACCACCCACCCTGCCCGCCGGCCACTCGCATGCCTCTTTGCCCCCTCCCCTGGCCCCTCCGCTTGCTGCTTGCACCTCTTCACCCCCTCCCCCAGCCCCCCGCCCTCCCACCTGCCGCTCTCACCTCTTCGCTGCCTTCCCCGCCCGACCCCCTGTTCACCGCTCACACCACCCCTGCCCCCCCTCCCACCTGCTGACTGGCTGGCTGGCCGCTCACCACTCACACCTCCTCACCCCCTCCCACAAATCTCCCATGTGAGCAGAGCAGGAACAGGAAGAGGTGGAGCCTCGGGGGAAGAGGACGACTGGGAGTGGGGGCTGAGGGTGGAGCGTCGGCTGTTTGGGGAGGTTTAGCCTCCCCTGGCCTCTTATACCCACTGCCTCTGTGTGAGGCCCTGGGGGAAGCCTCGAGAGAAGCTTTAGGCCATGTGAAAAAGCTTGGACCTGTGATCAAGGACACCGTCTTTTGTTATTTTGGTCCCCCCCTGTGTTCAAGGAAACAGGACTTTGTACATTCTTTGTAAATAAACAAATCTGCATCAAAGAAAGTACCTGACTCCATCACCAATTCCTCCTCCCAACTGGGACAACCTACGAGACCCTGAATTTTTGGCTGGTCACACAGGTCAATAGGGGTAACATTATAGCTGGGTGACTTTTCAGAGGGCCACTGGGGAGGACACAGGTAAAGGAGATACCAAACAGAAAACAAAAATAGGAGATATAAGGGGTGAATGTGGATTTCAAAAGAAATGGAGGAGAGGTGGCTACATCCAATAGACTATTTCATAGGTAATGGGATATGAAATGGGGAAGGTGAATCAACGGTCCAAGACAACCCCAAGGAACTGGAAAAAGGAAGAAAATAGGTACCCTGACTGGGGGAGGGAAGTAGAGGAAAAGAAGCTGTATTTGAGCATGTTCTCCCTTGCAGAGGAGGGCTGCTCGTGCCTTTCAGATATTTTGGCTGAGAGAAAATAAAAACTTGACATGACCAAGACAGGCAGAAAGGGGTGACAGGAAGCTATCTAAAGTAAGACAAGTTGCAAATTATCATCCTACAGGTAGTAGCTCATTCTAAAAGGTAGAGAGAAGATGCCTAAGAGTAGATCTGCTTGAATAATGTGTAAAAAAAACACTGTCACTGGATTTTTTTAAAATTTGTAACTAGTTTTTTGGGTTGGTTTTATATTTTCCAAAATGCTGATAATTTTTTTTACATGAAGTGCCTGTTCCTCTTCATTTATTCCTGTTCCCCTTACCTTCCCCCATCTTTCTAAGCTTCCAGGGGTTCCCCAGGTGCAGCCAGCCTGACCCCGTTAAGGTAGAGAAGGAGGGAAGAAAGGGTGTCCCACAAGAATGGAGAACCTCTGTCACTGTCTACCCCTTTAAGGCTACCATCCTGCTGTAATGTGAGACCAAGAGAGAAGTGGAAGGACATGCAAGCGCTGTCAGAAGGAATCTGAATCTGTTTGTGCCTGTATTTTCAGTACATGAAAAATCTGAATAACATTTTTGATTAAAAAAAAATTCAGTCACATTTTTGTTTAAAAATGTCATGAACATTCTTCCCCAAAATTGGTCCATCTGAAACCCTTCAAAAGAGAAACAACTTGGAAATTTCATTTTTTTTCCATGGACTTAATATTTCATTTACAGGAGGTGCCAGAAAATATGTTGAAAAGTAGGAATTCTTACCTGAGTCCAACTTGTGAACAAGAAGAGAAATGAAGATTATGGTGTAACCAAGAAGGGAGGAGCTCCCTACTGAGCTCTTGGAGACAGAGAAAGGTCTCATCTTCATTTTAGTTGGTGCTGGGCCAAAAAAAAAAAAAAACAACCACACAAGTGAGTGTCAGCCAGTGAATTTGATACAAATATGGTGAATATTACATAAAATACCCTGAATATTTTATTTGCTTTTTGAAAACTGGGTGATCCATTACAAAATATCTCCTAAGTAGCTTCCAAATATTTATCTTACCACCTGCACTCTGACCAGATGTAAAATTGAAGATAATGAGATTGTGCCTCTGTTTATACTCCTGGGATTACTTAGCTTGTAAACTTTTTGAAGTAGGGGCCAACTTTATGTTCTGTATTTGTACAGCCCTTAGCACAATGGAGTCTAGGGCCATCACAGTGACCCATGGGCAGAGCATGAACCACCTGTTCGGGGAGGCTAGCCCCCAGCCATGCCTCTTCTGCCCCAGGCCCCGTCCCTCCACGCTGGACGTATGTTGGCATACAGGTGCCGCAGTAACTGCATCACTTGTGCGTGTTTACACTCTGCTTCTTGTGTCAGCGGTGTGTCACCAGAAGCACTTGTATTGATTGTACTGTCAGTGTGGGGCATTGTGGGAAGGTTCCTGAAGGCCAGTAACAGTCGACATAAGCAACACAGTGTTTACACTGACACTGCATCAACCTCATTACTTCGACCTTAACTCTATGCTCTACGCTCATAGAAATGGAGTTATTAAGTTGGCATAGCAGGGCAGTTACGTCGGCAGGTGCGAAATTTATGTCTACTCTAGACACTTCCATAGACGTAAGCTGCCTTGCATCAACCTAACTCTGTAGTGTAGACCAGGCCTCACTACAGCAAAAGCAGAGGTTCTTCCCATCCCTGCAGTTAATCCATCTTCCCAAGAGGTGGTAGCTATACTGATGGAAGAACTCTTCCATTGATCTAGAGCTGTTGACAGCACAGGTTAGGTCAGCATAGCTACACGGCTCAGGGCTGTGGATTATTATAATGTAAGTTTTCAGTGTAGACCAGCCCATAGTTTCCACCAAAAAAAAAAATGGGGGAGGGGGACTGAGATGCTATTTATAAAATGGCCAGAGGAGGAGGGGCCATTACTTCTTAAACTGCTATGGGCTTTAGCATAATCCTTAACATACGCACCTTTGATGTGGCAAACCCAGGGTCAATTCCTGCCTTTTCACCATTTGAGTAGCCTAACCACTGGGCTATGGAGCCAGTCTCCTTCTCAAAACATAAGAACTAGTGGTCACCAAATGAAGTTAATAGGCAGAAGGTTTAAAACAAACAAAAGGAAGTATTTCTTCACACAACGCACAGTCAATCTGTGGAACTCTTTGCCAGAGGATATTGTGATGGCCTAGACTATAACAGGGTTCAAAAAAGAACTGGATAAGTTCCTGGAGGATAGGTCCATCAATGGCTATTAGCCAGGATGAGCAGGGATGGTGTCCCTAGCCTCTGTTTGCTAAAAGCAGACAATGGGCAATAGGGGATGGATCACTTGATGATTACCTATTCTGTTCATTCCCTCTGAAGCACCTGGCATTGGCCACTATCAGAATACAGGATACTGGGCTAAATGGTCCTTTGGTCTGACCCGTAGGGCCATTCTTATGTAGTGTTCCCTCTCATTTTTGCCACACATTTGCGGAATGAATTTTGTTATGTGCACCAATATGGAGGTGATATGTGACACATCAAGTTCATATTGGTGCACATAACAAAATTCATGTTTTGGTAAGGGTGGGGCCGAGGGGTTGGGGTGCAGGGGATAAGGGCTCTGGCTGGGGGTACGGGCCTCTGGGGTGGGGCTGGAGCTGAGGAGTTTGGATTGCAGGAGGGTGCTCCGGGGCTACGGCAGGGAGAGAGGACTCCCCCCTGCTCTCTCTCCCTGCAGCAGCTCCGAGGCTGTGGACACTGGATAGGCACCTCTTCCTGGTCCTTCAGCACCCCTCCCTGGCCGCAGCAGATCTGGGGCTGGGTTGGGACCGGGGGAGAGGCGCCCCGGCCACAGCAGGTCTGGGCTGTGGCTGAATTCGGGCCGCCCCATCCCTGGCCGTGGCAGGTCTGGGGTTGGGGTGGGGCTGGGGGAGAGGCACTCCTCCCCTGGCCACGGCAGGTCCTGGCCAGGCAGGTTTCCTGAGCGCCTGCATGGCACTTAATAGGCTGCTTCGCGGCCACGCAGCCACAGAGCTTAGCCAGCCACTGAGCTATAGGATACTCTTGTATGGGTTTCTCTCAGTCTCTCTTGTAGAAGCCATTCCACTTCATTTAAATAATTAAATATTAATTGGGTCAGAGACCAAGTGTGAATCATTGTATAGTCCAGAATTCCCAATGGTCTGGTGCTTAGGGTGTTTTAAAGATGGGGAAACTGAGGAAAGCACCTTGCACTCCATACACAGCAACTGTAGTAGCAGAACCAGGACTCAAACCCAGAAGATCTCACTCCACAAACACAGCTCTCTCTGCTAGATAATTCTGTAGAGTGCAGGCTGTCCATCACTGCTGAGAGGACATTTACACACTAGACAGAAAGGGTCAAATTTTCCTCTTATTTACAGCAATGTAAATCTGAAGTAAATCCAGATCAGAAGTTAGCCTCCTTGTTCCAGATTTGCGCTGGTGTAGCTGAGAGCAGAATGCAGCCTATAAAACATAGAGGGAGAGCCCTTGTTCTACAGAGATAAACACTCTAAGGATTTGGATTGGTTGTAACTCCTAGCCAACAGATGGAGAGAAAAACATACATTGCAGATGGATGGACAAATGAACATAGAAATGCCAGCTGGACTTAGCCTGCAATCACCCCAGGGTAACTATCACATTGTCTTCTTCTTTGTACAGCACCAAACACACTGTCATAAAAACCATACTAAGAACATAAGAATGGCCATACTGGGTCAGACCAAAGAGGTCCATCCAGCCCATTATCCTGTCTTCTGACAGTGGCCAGTGCCAGGTGCCCCAGAGGGAATGAATAGAATAGGTAATCATCAAGTGATCCATCTCCTGTCGCCCATTCCCAGCTTCTGGCAAACAGAGGCTAGGGACACCATCCCTGCCCATCCTGGCTAATAGCCATTGATGGACCTGTCTTCCATAAACTTATCTAGTTCTTTTTTGAACCCTGTTATAGTCTTGGCCTGCACAACATCCTCTGGGAAACAGTTCCACAGGCTGACTGTGCATTGTGTGAAAAAATACTTCCTTTCTCCACACCAGTCATGATTTTATAGACCTCTATCATATCCCCACTTAGTCGTCTCTTAGCCAATCAGTTACCAATCCATGAGAGGACCTTCCCTCTTATCCCATGACAGTTTACTTTGCTTAAGAGCCTTTGGTGAGGGACTATTTTTTAAAAATAAATTAAAAGGACTGAAACTGCAGTTCCTGTGGGTGATGGGAGAGGGAGTCCGAAACAGGCAATCTAGTACAGTAGATAAGGCCATTTGGTGAGCTGCTCTGATGCCCTGTGCAGAAGTTTGACACCTATGGAAACTGAGCAGGAATTTATTGAAGCATCAGAAACACACATGAAGAATATCTGTTTGTTTTATGGCATGTGTGTAAAATATTTCCCTGAATCAAGGCTGATCAGTCTGTCATTGCAGACAGAGAAGAGCTGCTGTAGGCAGGTGTGAGGCTGTGCAGCACTGGGGTGGGGGTGCTGGGATGGACAAGCCAGGATCTCAAAGCCACCCATACCCTACTTTGGCAACCATGGCAGATGGCTCACTCCATTTGTGGTAACTTTGATCTCCTTGGCACCTCCCTGTCCTGGGGTTTCACCCTGTGCTACTGTCTGGCCGGGCACCTCCCCTTTTCTGAATCTCATCTCCTGCACTCTGTTCCTGATTTTGCCCATCTGCCCCCTTCTTCCCTTGTTTCACCCTCCTCTGGACACACTTTGACCCCTGCAAAAATTCTGCCCATTCCTCTGACTTCCCCCCTTTGACTGCAGAACATAAGAACAGCCAGACTGGGACAACCCAAAGGTCCATCTAGTCCAGTGTCCTGTCTTCTGACAGTGGCCAGCGCCAGGTGGCCCAGAGGGAATGAACAGAACAGGTGATCATCCGGTGATCCATCCCCTGTCATTGCCAGGGCAGGTGTAGTAGAGGAAATTACTCTCTGTAGGAATGTCCTACTTAGGGTGTAGTGAGCATGCTCACATGAACTGAGCATGCTCAGTAACATCTGCTGAAGCCACTTCCCTTCACCCTGCCCTTATTAATGGTAAGATTCTGCTGACTGCTTTTTACAGGGGTTAAAAAGGGGCACATTGGAGGAGGAGGGTGGCCCGGGTCTGAGCAGGGGGCAAAAATTGACTGCTTAGGGGGGTCAAGCAGCTGCAGGCAGGGTTAGGAAGGGGCTGAAGGGCAAAATCAGGGACGGGGGGGAAGGAGATAGAGTTAAACCCATGGTGAGGCACTGCCAGAGGGTGACAGAGGGCAAAACCCCGGCACAGGCAGGGCAGAGGGGGTAACAGTTACCCCAGTGGACTGAGACACCAGTGTTTGGCAAAAAATAGTGTGCAGGGAGCAGATGGGCTTTTTATTTCCCCTTCCACAGACAGCACCTCCCAGAATGGGCTTCCCAGGGCGGGGTTCTAAAAGGCACAGGCATTCCAAAGCCTTTTCTTAAAGGCACAGGCATCTGAATGCCTAGTCCCTGCAGCTCCTCTTTGATGTAACCTACTGAGGTGCTCCAAAAGGAGACTTAATTCAGTGAAGCTGAGCCTTCCCTATACCCCCTCCCAGGGGGCTGTACACCCCCCTGAATTTCCCAAACACATCCCCCCACCAGTGGTCTACTAGTTACAACGGTGTTGCCAATTTTGTCATTGGTTGGAAATTTCAATTGAAACATGAATACACACTTTAAAAGCATATACAGTGTATGATAAAATACTTGTACCTAAAGAAGTATAATAGGTTTGAAAAGTATGAACAAAGACTGGCTTCCTCTCACAGCTGTTGTTTTTTCTGACAATGTCGGCACATTGGTTTCGGCAATGTTGGCCGACCTTATAATTTAA